AGTTTCCTGCATGTTTTATCTCATGCAATAACACCAGATCCAATAAGGGAGGACTCTCAGATACTGACACACCAAAATCTCAGCTTGATACCTGTGATGACCCAGTTTTAGCAGTGTTTGTTTTTTCCCAGATTGCCTTAATTTGACGAAAGATCAGTTGTAGATGTACCAAGAATTTTATGAACATTTGATGAAAACCCACATAGTGGTTCATGAGATACTTGTCCAACACACACACACACACACACACACACACACACACACACACACACACACACACACACACACACACACACACACACACACACACACACACACTTTCAACCTTTCATCTTTGGTGGTGAGCTTGAATCACTGCACTTCTGCTGATGCATCTGTTCAAGTCTATAGCTCAGGTGTCATTGTGCAGTTTGAGGCTGACATGTTTCCAATGCACACCAAGTAATGAGTCAGAGTAAACATCTCATTTTTTATTGTCTGAACAAAAGAACACGGCCTTAATTATTTAAATAAAGAACATTTAGTTTGAATTAAAATCACTAATTCATGACTCTTTTACTCAAACACACATCCAGGAGTTTAATAAGGTAAAAACTCTCATTATAAATTCACTAGATTGCATATTTATAAAGTTTTGTCTCAATAAATCAAAAACAAACACATCAGATGGTCCCAGTCTGCAGCCTTGCTGAGTTGATCCGTGACCAAGTGCTTCTTTGCTGAGTTATTTATCAATGCTTTTTATTTTAGTGCCATTTTGGAGCTGCTTTTGAGGAGGATCAACCGTTCGCTTCAACAGGTTACTGATAAGCCTGCATGAATATTAATTAGAGCCTTGCAGCACCAACGTCGCTTCAGTTTTCCCCTCTGCAGTCGTTCACATTGACACTCCTGTCCTGCTGCAGTAATTCACCTCCTGCTAAGTTTCAGAAGGAGGTGTCTCCTCCAGCAGGAGCTCTGTGGGACAAACGTCTATCCCTGTAGGGATTCTTTCAGAACATTGTCAGACGATTTAAGAGATTTTCTATTTGACGTGAGCTAATTTATTAAACATGATGATGATGATTTTTAAATAATTATGTTGATGTTAAGCTATGATAGAAAACAGGGTCTAGATGTAAAATCACTAGTGTCCCCTTAGGATAAAATCGTGACCCTGAAACTGTGTAAACATTTCATTTCTCTCTTCAGCAGCTTCTATAAACTTTGCAATATTTGTCTGCAGCTGATAAAATCCACCAGCTGTGGTGTTCAGGTGTATCTGTTCACCTGATCTACAACAGTTGTCTCCAAACTGCCTGATATGAAATATCTGCTGCCAGTTTTTAGATTAAAAAAATTATTTATGCTCTTAAACAACAATTTTTTACCCATTTTCTTGAGATTTTTTTATTTGTCAGTGAGATTTTACATTTAATATGTATATTTCTTGCTTTTGTGCTGCTTTTTATATTTTAGACTAAAATCTTGATATTTTTTGGCATTATTTAAAACTCAAGAGCTCTCTAATTATGGCTTTAACACGTTTACACTGTTTAGTGTAAATAATCTTTCAGCATCTCTGATCAGGGTAGCTGCTTAAACCCTCAGCAGGAGCTCTCTTGCTTCACAAATTACAGGATAAACTCGATAACGGGTAAAAGTTCACAAAACAAAACAGTAAAGATAATACTTATACTGCCTAAAATATACAAAATAGATTTTAAAAAAGAGGTATTACTGTTTATTATTTTCATTTATCATTTTTACACATTGTGTCCAGCTCCTTAAAGTGATATTTTGCAACTTTTTCATATCTCAAATCATTTTCTTGAGCCAGTTTGTGCTGAAATGACCGTTAACAGGGTTAATTAAATGCCACATGGCCTCTATCGCCCCCTGTGGCCAGAATATTCCACTTGCAACTTCAGACTGGCAGCTGCTCTGCTTTCAGAAAAATCTGGGCTGACAAAGCTGGAACGACAGTCTCGTCCCAGCACCATTCTAGATACACACAGGTAATTTCAGTGATGAATCACTCCTTTAGACACTAGCGAAGGCTGTGGAGACATTTCAGCTGTTAGAAGTTGTCCTGCTTCAACACAGTTGATTCACCCACTCATCAGGCTCTGCAGAAGCCTTTTAGTCACCTGCCGATTAAAATGAGGTGTGTTGAAGCAGGGCAACCTCCAAAACTTGCTGGATAATGGTTCTCCAGGACCAGGGTTAAGATGTTAAAATGAGATTTGAGCAAGGAGATTTTACAAACTGACACTGGGGGGTTCTAAAAAAAGCTGAAACTGCCCTTTAAATGGATGTTTTGTGTTGGAGTGGGGTTTGTGCTACAAAAAATGACTATAGTTCAGTCAATTCTACAGACGTGTAGCTAAAACTTGATGTCAAAGTGGCTTAGGATCATTTACGCAAATATTCTTAAGTGCTAATAGGTTGCATGCGATTTTGCAGAGTGTCATGAGTTTCTGCATGAGGTCATTTTCTAGATTTAATCAAAAGAATATAACTCCATCATGACTTAAACCTCGGAGGAACCATAGGTTTTAACTGCTGTCTAATTTGATGGGTCTTTTTCCCATAATGAAGCACAAGCTCTTTTAAAAGTGTCTTTTTTTCAGATATCCTTTATCTTTATGATTTTTTGGGGTAGATCAACAAAACAAACCACCGCCACTGTTATCATTGTCTGGTTTATTTCTGTTATTGATAAATTTATCGTCCTGGAAGTGGCGTGCTGTTGGACCAGTGAAGCTCCTGTAAATCTTTTCCTTCTCCACACTCAGCTGTGCCTTGATTGCCGAGCTCAGATCACGAGCATGTGTTTCTCTGCTGGTGTTTGTTTAGGTCTGGTGTTTTGACCAAACCTTACTGAAGACAGCGCTCAAGGCTTCTTCTCTGGCTTCTGCAGCTGTGAGCTCATCTGCCTGGCGTGCGCGTACAAGTGTGTGTGACAGTGTGACATATGCTGCCGCCGCTGCATTCCTCGGTCTTCCTTTCTGCTCCGTGACGTAAACACAAGGTCAGACTTGGAGAGCATCTGGTGGATGAGATGTGTTTGAGGAACGTCAGGGAGCATCTGCGCGGAAAATTGAAAACACACATCTGCAAACGCCGTTACATGCATAAACATTTGTTTTCTGCTGTCAATCTTTTTGTTGTCTGCACACACACACACACACACACACACACACACACACACACACACACACACACACACACACACACACACACACACACACACAGGGTGCAGTAGCATCAGCAGCAGATAGGGGCTGCTGCAGGATCGTGGAAGATGTTTGGCCAATCTGCTGGCAGGTTTTCTGAAACCCGGCATCCCACTGGCACATCTTCTTCTCCTCTCTTTTTTCCTCCCGACGGTCGTCGTCCTCTCCATCTATCCGTGTCTCTCTGCATCTACCATCCCCCTCTCCGTCCTCATCTTCTGGGATTAAAATTGGCTGCCGGTTGCGGCTGCAGCATCAGTGGAGAAGCAGAGGCAGGGGGGAAGACGGAAAGGTTTCACCAAGGTAAAAAAAAAATATGTGCGGTTGCTGGATGTGAGGCTAAAGGACGCCTGAGAGGACAGACTGTCAGTGGATTTATACCTGAGGAGGAGGACTGTTCTATCAACATCTGGGCCAGCTGCTGATGAGGTGTCTGGATTTCACTGCCTGTATCTTCCCTGTCTGTGTCTACATCTCTCTTTGAAAGGTCTGCATGAAAAACTGTGTGTGTGTGTGTGTGTGTGTGTGTGTGTGTGTGTGTGTGTGTGTGTGTGTGTGTGTGTGTGTGTGTGTGTGTGTGTGTGTGTCTGGATGCCAAAGACAAAGCCAGTGTCTGAATGCAAAGCGTGCAATTTGACGTTTATTCATCAGAAAAATCCCAGCAGTCTGAAATGTAGTGAAGATTTCCTGCGGTCTTCCGTTGGTGTTTTCATTCCCTTTGGCTTTGCTGTCTTGCTAAAATGGTGTCAGCTCAGACAAGATGCTCTAAACAAAGAATTAATTATTTCAGAATCAGTCACATGTGTCAACATGCATGCGTGTGTGTGTGTGTGTGTGTGTGTGTGTGTGTGTGTGTGTGTGTGTGTGTGTGTTTGTGCATAGTTTGTGCACTGAGGCTGGATGACTTTCCACTCCAGCGCTGTGCGCTGTCTGACAGGTAGGCGCTGCATTAACTTGTAGGCCCAAGGCTGTTGACTCAGTTTGGCAGGGGGTCAATATAGTATGCATGACTGAAAAGACATGTTTGTCATTTGTAAATTCATAGCATGCAAGTTCACCCTCCCCTCTCTGTCGAATGTGATAGTGTTGCATATCAAATGTTGCGTGTGGAGAAAGTTCTCCTCCTCTCTTCCTCCTGGGCTTCTCTCGTTTGAGATGCAGGGAGGAGGAACTTGTGGGCATCCTCCTGCTGCACAGACACGTTGGTCCCCACTAACTCCTCTGCCTTCACTCATTTATTTCATTGTGTTTCAGTTCGGTGGCTTAACGACAAGTAAAACAGCTTATGCAGCATACAATCTATGGAAACACAGAGCGAGGGGGTTAGGAGCTGTTGTCCTCTGTAGCCTTTGTCACCCAACCTGCTGACGCTGCACATGCAGCCCCAAAGGGGATCACCGGTTTACACAATTACCATGACATGTGTGCGTTTGTGTCTGCGTGAAGCGGCACCAGCGACTTTGCTTTGGTGGGGCGAATTATTTCCAGCTTTCAGCCTGATTAGGTCAGAAAATCTAATTTCTCAAATACCCTCAACACCTAATTTTCTCCTTCTCCTGGTTATTAAGGAAGTGTAATGAAGTTAAAGTCATGTTTGGTTTGAATCTTCACTAAGAGTTGTGACAAGATGCTCCACTACTTTTTGTGTGAGGAATCTTTTTTTTTTTTGTCTCGCCTTCAGATTTTAAAGTTTCCTTAAAGATTATGTCAGCAGGCGTCCCAGGGGAAGTGTGTTATCAGCTGAGTGTGTGCACTAACTGGTTTTCCTGTGTTTGTGTCTAGGGGGGGTAGTTGACAAAGATTTGAGGCACTACCTCAACCTGCGCTTCTCCAAAGGCTCAGTGGACCACGACCACCAGCAGATCATCAGAGACAACCTCTACCTCCGCACTGTTCCCTGTAAGTCTTCCTCATTTGCCCATTTTCAGCCACTTGCTGTTTCTGCTTTGGTACTTTTCATCCTCAATCCATCCAAATCTTTGTCTCCATTTGTCTTTTTCATCATCCATCCCAAACACCAGTCTTCCCACCTTCCTCCTACAGCCTAGCTTTTCCTCTCATTTAGCTTCGCCTTGGGAAGCTGCCCTCTTATTTCCTTCATCACACACATGCTCCCTCCCAGTGTCTCTCACCGTCTACCCCTCCTTCCTTTCCCTCAGCCGTCCGAGGTTTCCACGGCAACCACCTTCTTGTCTGGGGGCTTGTCGTGATGCCCTGCCCTCCCCCTTCAGCACACACAGATAAAAACTGTGACTGTTGGATACATTTCATCAAGTGTGAGACATGCTACATGCCGGACAAACACAGATGTCTCACGGTATGTGTGTGTGTGTGTGTGTGTGTGTGTGTCTTTTGCCTGTTGGGACACAACGTAATCTCTCTGATTAACATTGAGGGTCTCCCGCAGCAAGTCCACCTTCCATCTATTCATTGAGGATCTTGTGACTTATCTCCGATGCTTCACCCCACTGACTAAATGTTACTCTCTTTGTGCAGAGAGGTGTTGTTTGAGTGGACAGATGATGTCTTTTCCAAGGATTTTTTGAACTCTTCTGTTCTGAAATGCTTTCAGGTTCCTGAAACTAGCACAGGTCCAGGAGAAAACGAGGCTAGTCTTGACGTCAGCGATAGCCGCGTCTACCGAGCGATGTCCTCTGCTGGTGTGTCGAGCCGCTGACACAGAAGCGATTGTTTGTTACGATCTTGCAGCTGCACACTTCCCTCCTCTCTTCTTCTGTCGTTTTCATCCCTCTGCCTTCACCCTCTTTCATGTCGTCGCCGCTTCTTTGCTTTCTCTCCTCTTTTCCCTAGTTGTAATTTCAGATGCCCGTCAGCCTCGGTGCCTTTAACGCGCCTCTCTTCTGCCTTTCGCAGCCTGTTTGCTGTGTTATTAGTGGAGTTAAGGCCGACTGACAGAGTGACGGCTGCTGTAATGAGAATTGGCTAAACCTCAAAACCTTCACCCTATTAATACCAAAGGACGCCATGTGTCTGCTTTGCTCACGTGATCCCTCCTTTTGTTGCCATGTTTCAATTATAGTCACCTCCCAACCTTTCATTAGAATGGAAAAGACAATTATTGCCTGTGATGATTTGGTAATAGCAACCCTGCAATTAACTGCCTATCACTTTACAAGACTTTAATGAAGATCCTAAAAATTCAATAGACCTCCTGCCCTTTTAGCTTTGAATTATAAGTGTGGTGTTTTAATTTAAATGTGCTTGTTATTGTTTAAAAGTTCATGTATCAAGAGGATGCTTTATATGAATTCGCTGCATGACTTGTAGTCTCTCACATTAGCAGGCGCTGCTCACCCTTCAGTGATGCTGCTTCAGATGGCTAAAAAAATTGGGATGATGGTCTTGAATGCTGCCTTGCTCCTGCCCAATGGGACTGTTTGTTGTTGTAGTTTGGAGCGTTAGAAAATCAGTGGTTTTTTGTAATCTCCCTCGTCTGCAGCGCTCTGACCATGCTGTCAGTGCGGGTCTGTCAGCTTGACGAGCAGACGCCACTCTGCATCACAACATGCTGTCAAGGACGTGGGATGTGTCTGGCTGTCAGTGTGTGCGTTTGTGTCGGTTCATACTGCTAGGAGGCTCTTGTGCTGACATCAACCAATGCATCATGTTACATCATTTAGCTCAAGGATCACCCTGCCTCACTCACCCCCAAAATACTTCAAAAAATATAAGAATTTGCTCTGATATTAATAATTTTGTGCACACTTTGTATTTAGCCCTCCAGGAGGGCTCCTCTATGTGTTCTTGCTTTGTTTATGTCAGTGATTATTTTACACAAGTATTTGTCTCTCAGCAGCATAAATACCAAATGGTAGCAGGATCTCCACTTCAAGGACAAACATCTAAATATTTAGCTAAAGGGACTGTATCGTGCAAAATCCACTTTTTGGAGCTTTTGATCATGTTTTATTGTTATTTCCTCATGAAAAATACCCCCAAAGAGGTTTGGCGTCACGCATGCATTATCCTATCTCAGCTGCTTCTTCTGGTAAACTCAGCTAAGCTACTGCAAACAGCTGGATAGGGCCTTTTTACATCACAACGCAGTGAGGGAGGTATTCGGATCCCTGTCCAGTCTTCCTAAAGAAGAGTTTAATCTGCATGAATGCTTGGAATTTATCTGCAGGAGCTCTCAAAAACTGAGCCAGAACGTGGCTGTGATTTCACTGTCTATTTGTTGAGCCACCAATGAATGAATGAATGAATGAATGAATCCAGCACCCAATGTTATAATCATCCAATGGAGAGCCATGGAGGTGAACAAAACCAAAATGCTAACTGTTAGCTGCTAGCAGAATTGTTATAAAGTTTGGTGGGTGAGCCTTACAGAAGGTCTGGGACAATGAGTCATCCCAGTTGCCTTTTCCCTGTCTTAGTGTGTGTGTATATTAGCTGCTGTACCCTCAGAAGGAAATGTCTCCAGGGTGTATGTATGTGTGTGTGTGTGTGTGTGTGTGTGTGTGTGTGTGTGTGTGTGTATGTGTGTGTGTGTGTGTGTGTGTGTGTGTGTGTGTGTGTGTGTGTGTGTGTGTGTGTGTGTGTGTGTGTGTGTGTGTGTGTGAGTACTCCGCTATCGCTGCATGATACATGTTAGCATGGATCTGCAGTGTCCTGGTCTGCAGCTGTGTACGATTGTGGAATTCACACAAGTGGAGGCGGGGTTTCATTCCTTCTTATTTCCAGATTGAAGGAACAGTTTACAAAAATACTGTATATAATGAAAGACTTACTTGTCCAAAAGAAATGTCTCCAACCATACACCTGAGGGACATTCGTGTTGAACGCAGAGATACTTTGAAACACTTTGAGGCGCTTTTGGCAAGTTTAGTCTTTGAGCTTTTCTTCACGATCGTTTGTCTTAAAGTGGAAGCAGGCAGTCGTGGAATTAGTATTTTTTGTGGCTTTAAAGGCAGTTGTAGCTGCCCTGTGGTTCTTTCTGTCGTTGCAGTTTTGTCAACACATTGTAAATGGTACTCAGTGTAGGTACTTTTGCAAATGCACGCATGCATGCTCTGAATGACATCTGTACGTAGGTGGATATCTAACGCTATTTACTAATGCTAAGTAAAATTGCACGGGGCTTACGGGATGGAGTGTGGGCCCAGCAAAAAAAGTTAAATTGATGTAATGCCTTCATTTTATTATATTTTTATGGATTACTACAAAAATCATAAATAATTCCTGAAAAGGGGGAAATTCCAGATTGGTGCTTTCCATGCTAGAGCTTTAAACTAAGATCATTGTATTTTCAGAAAGGATGGCGTTTCAGCCTTTTTGATGAAGTCATCATGACATATAATGTTATGTGTGATCTCATGCAATATTGCAAAACTTCATGCAATCAGTTAGTCCTCACATGAGCTAAAAGTGCCCCTTAGCTAATTCAGTATCTACTTGTAACTCAACATAAGAGAGTCAAGAGTCTCATGAATTTTCCTCCTACCAGTCCAACAAATATCATTGAAAGAACTTAACATCCAAGAGATTGATCAAATCTCTTACATTATTTAAGAAGTCTTGCTTCTTTAGTATTACATAAAAGTTTGAAGCTCCACCAGCAGCCTCCAAGCCCAGCAGCCAGGCTCCACCAGCAGCCTCCAAGCCCAGCAGCCAGGCGCCACCAGCAGCCTCCTGGCCCAGCAGCCAGGCGCCACCAGCAGCCTCCTGGCCCAGCAGCCAGGCTCCACCAGCAGCCTCCTGGCCCAGCAGCCAGGCTCCACCAACAGCTTCCAGGCCCAGCTGCCAGGCTCCACCAGCAACCTCCAGGCCCAGCAACCAGGCTCCACCATCAGCCTCCAGGCTCAGCAACAGAGCCCCACCATCAGCCTCCAGGCCCAGCAGCCAGGCTCCACCAGCAGCTTCCAGGCCTAGCAGCCAGGCTCCACCAACAACCTCTGGGCCCAGCAACCAGGCTCCACCTTCAGCCTTCAGGCCCAGCAACCAGGCTCCACCATCAGCCTCCAGGCCCAGCAACCAGGCTCCACCATCAGCCTCCAGGCCCAGCAGCCAGGTTCCACCATCACCTCAATACCAGCCACCTGATCCAACCATCAGGCTCAGCCTGGGGCTCCACCGGCAACAAGGACTGAGAGAGAGGTAAGCCTAATACAATGGCCCCTCCTAGAAAAATGGAGAAACTCGAGGAAGATATGGAGGAAATTAAAAAATCATTGAATTTTATGTCAGCCGAGCTGTCTAAGCTAACAGTACAACAGGATCAACTACTATCATTAATGGACGAGGTCAAGACACTGAAATTCAAGCTTGCAGAAAAGGACAAGAATCAAATCAAATCAAATCAACTTTATTTATAGAGCGCTTTCACATGGCCAAAATAGACAAACAAGAAGATCATGGTATTGGAACAGAGGGTGGATGAACTGGAGCAGTATACCAGAAGGGATCACTTGGTGATAACTGGTTTGGAAACAAGACATAGGACTTATGCCAGAGTTACTGGAGATGGAAATACTACTGAGTGTCAGACGCGCTGCTGAGTGGAGCGGAGCTGAGGCGAGGATCCAGACGCGGGAGGAAGACAGGCAGACAGGTAGGAACGTTTTCACACAGTCTTTTAATATGGAGCACGCTGGACAATGAACCAATGAACCGGCACAGGACACAGAACAGACGGGGCTTAAAGACAGGAGGACCGGGATCTAAGGTGATTGGGAAAACGAGAGGCAGGTGGGAGTAATTAACGAGACACAAGGCTGAACCAAACAGGCTGACAGGACAGGGTGTGACAGTACCCCCCCCCCCCCCCCCCCCCTCAAAGGGCGGATCCCAGACGCCCACAGGAACAAGGAGCAGGGCGGGAGGAGGGGGACCCGGAGGGAGGGCCCAGAGGAACCGAGGGACCGATGGAGAGGAGGCAG